GGACGGAGCGCGGCTTACATGTGTCCATACCACTCGGACTCGCCAATCGCGTCTTGGCTAACGCGCGTAGCCAGCCCCTCGCTGAAGTAGGAGTCGATGTCAATCGGGATTGGGTTACCCATCGCGCGTAAGTGCGCGTAAGTGCCACTTGTTCGCATCTCTCTTACGCACTTACGAGCGGTGATCTCCCCGATTAACTTATCCCCCAAGGCGTGAGTGATAAAAGAATGACGAGCTCGCGGAGTTCCGACGTATCTTGGAATTCCGAGGAATCGCGAGGATTATGAGTCGTATTTTGGGTACCAGGAAATCTGGGAAGAAGAGCAACTCCGGTTACGGGGAAGTTTGAGAAACCCGGTGTTCCCCTGCCTCACAGAAAACGATAGATTCTGCGCTAGGGAATTCCATCTCGCCATACGAAGCGACCCGCGGGGACCCGGCTACCCAAACACGTACAACACGCTGTATTTCATAACCCCCGGCTTCGTCCTTATCGCCACTAATTTCCCACCATACCACCTCCTCCTCCCCTATCATCAGCTTACAGTAGTACCGTGGAATTCCATAGCACCTTATTGGCCCTCCATCCCGTGCAGAAGCTGCAGGCGGCGTACCTATACCCAAACCCCCGAAGCCTCGGCACCTCGGCATAGTTCCCACCAACCCACGCCACGTGGCGGGCACCCCCACTTTCCAAAAATCCTTGGCACACCCCTTTTCGCACTTCCAGGCCCACATCCCACTTTGATCAGGAAGGCGCGTCGGGCGTGAGGTTTTCGGGCGTCACAACACGGAAACCAGCAAAGTGTAACCACCGATAAAATCTATAATGAGATTGACATGGTATCGGGTATCGACGCGGCGCATGCAGTTGCAACATATCCGGGATCAGGACCCTTCGTAGGTTCCAAGCATTCACGTGCCAAGCCACTAGGTACTATCTACGTACTTCGTATATAAAAGCAATTAATGAAATAATGACAAGTCCAGAAAATCATCAATGAAGAAATAGTAAATCCAATGCTCCTCCAGAAAAGGAATGAAAAAATTTGAAATACAACAGTTCAAGCGACACGGGCATAACCAAGCTCGATCAACTACCCATTCGTGTACACCCCGCATCCGTATATCAGAAAGATTGATAGTGGAATATTTCCTAGGATACAAATATTCGGATTGTGTCAGGCATCCCCTATCCGTTAGTTCCCAAATATGTCCTCGTCACGATACCTCACTTTCCCATCCTCTGGCCAATAGTATGCGTCAGGCAGTTACTCTCCTCCCGGCTCCACATAGGATAACCCCTTTGTTTTACACATACACAACTTACTACGCCCCATCCGTGAAAAAAATGCCTCTACCTAGTTGGCCTGTGCACGCTATCCAAGATCCACAGATCACCATTATTGTGCATCCCTATCTACTGTGCTAGCCGGATTCTTATGCATGCCACTAAGGACGAATAGCGAAAAGCAGGAGTGACTGAAAAACATGCACTGATCATCGCCTCGGCACTCCTGCTTTTCGCTATTCGTCTTTAGTGGCATGCATGAGAATCCGGGCGCCGATCGTCCACTTAAAGAGCCTCGGCACAGCAACCTGCATAAAAATTGAAGCGCAACAAATAAGTCGACCGTCCGTTTGTACAGGTGCTCAGCCTAGTTACGAACTCGAACAGGAGACCTGGCGAAAACTTCAATCACTTGATCACCGTACTCTTCACAGCAGGACATCACTACTCACGATTAATCACCCAAGACGACAAATCCTGATCCATGTCTTCATACATGCACAATACGACCAACCAAACACATGATAGCAAAGTGATCCAGCAATACTGATGAGAAAAAGATTAGCTATGGCATGGTCTGTGGGATGCAATATAGGAAGGCAGGGGGGTAGAAAGGGTTCTCCATGATACGAGAGTAGTTCACCATAGTACCACACGGTAGGGTAGTAGGCGAGCTTTTTGATGAGAGATGCTATATAGCTGGGGAAGGTGGCACATCCCTGAAGTACTTTTCGCTTACTTGCCACAAAACTAAGCTCATCAGAGGGAATAGATAAGCATACATAGCATCCGCGTCATACATGGAGAAGGGATAGAGAGAGAGAGAGAGGAAGAGAGTGAGAGGATAAGAGAGAGAGAGAGAGGGGATGAGAGAGAGAGAGAAAGAAAAGGGGAGAGAGAGAGAGAGAGAGAGAGAGAGAGAGAGAGAGAGAGGGAGAGGGTTCTCTGTCAAGGGCAAGTTTCGGGTTATCAAAACGATAGCCCATTCCGGGTTGACAACGTCACCTCTGGGATGAATTCGCCTTCTCCTTCGTTCGCGATGGTGTTCTGTACCATCTCGTCAAATCCGACCATGTGCGCCATCGTTACTCACGAGGTGAATGAGAGGACCTGTGACGTACCACCTTCTGTAGCGCGCGACTTTCTGTGCGATTGCAATGAGGGGTCCTAAGCTGGGAAGGTTGGGCCAATTACGGGAGATTGGGATGGATGGGAAATTGCATCAGTACCCTCGCTTCTTCGTTTTTTGTGTCGATTCTTTTCAGATGGCTGAGTTCAGAGCTGGGTGTGTCCGGGACGGGCGATTGATTGGTCGGGTGGATGGCTGGCGCGCCGCCAATCGCGCGAATAATAAATGTTGACGTCGTTTCTTTTGTTTCCGTTTCGGGACTTTTTAGGCACGGACATCGCGCGGGAATTTTGCTTCGTTCTTTTTGAAATTTCCTTTTCGAAATCTTCTTCGAACTCTTTTTCGAATCTTGTCGAGCCCCGATGGCTTTCGGAATTTCGGAATTTCGGACTTTCTTTCCGGAACTTGTGCTTTTTTGCTTTTTTGCTTTTTTGCATTAGATAGGAATTTATGAATTTTGTAATTAGGACTTTCTTTTGCCGCGCGGCGCCTTTTGCTTACGCGCTTCTTTATGCGGCTGCAACGGAATTCTGATTAGTCGGCGCCTTTAATCGGGTGTGTAACTGTAATTTTGGATTGGCGCCATTGTAACTGTATCTTTCTTCTTGTGCTTCGTTTTTCCCGCCCCTCTTCTCTTTCTTTTGCTGCGTTTTTGGTAGGTTGATGAATGCGGATTTGTTGTTTCTTTTATCTTTTCTCCAACCTGTCTCGTGTACATAAATTTTGATTTCGGCTCCGGGTGATTTGCCCGTTTCTGTTTTTCGGGATCTGGATTTGGTTTTTCGCTCACCCTTGTCCTCGTGATTTCCCATCTCGGATATGGTGTATGAATGTATGAATGAATGAATGGATGTCGTGATTGGTTGTTTGTCTTCCTATCGGATCCTTGCCTTTGCCTTTGTTTACTACCTTTGATGCGCTCATGAGTAGGATAGGAATTTTGTATAATCGTTAATCTTGTTCTCGTTTTTGCTTATCTTTTGATTGAGCTGTTGTGGTTGTTGCTTGCATGCTTGAAAGTTACGGAGTGATTAGACAATCGAATGTCTGGCCCTACGAACGCCACGCAAGGACGCGTGTAAACGCGACCTGATCTGCGCATTTACACGTGCCCCCGTGCGTCGATTCGTCAATTCCAAAAAGGACCATCGATTGTAGAAGTACTGTCAAATTGGATATGGCCATCCGGGGTCTGCGACGGAGCAGTCATCCCGTGCGAACACGCGTAAGCACGACTTGATTTGCGCGGCCTGCACGTGCTCGCACGAGGTGATCGCAATCGGCACAGACCCGCCCTTAGGCATCTCGCAGCTCTGCGATGACATAATGACACACTCAGAGAGCTCGGAGTCGTTGTTGTACGACCCGGACTATTTCACCCCTTGGATAGAGGGAAGCCTCTGACAGAGATACCCTTGCCTAACCGAGAATCGACTGTGTCCTAGGGAGTTTCACTGCGCCACCACTAGCGACCCGCGGTGCTCTGATTTCCCCACTCAGGACCACACCCACTACTTCACCCGCCCCGGATTTGTCGTTATCTCCACCAGCTTCTGTCCCTTCCGTCTTCTAGTTCCGTATCACCGACTCGGCGTTGTCCCGTGGAAGGCCATAGCCCCATACTGGCCCAGCACACCCTGCGGAAATTGTCGATGACGCGGCGACCAAAGGACCCCGGAATTTCGGAGGCCTAACCCGAAAGCGCGACGACCAGCGCCACGTGGCAACTTCCGACGGCCTGACTCATCGGAACCTCACCCACCCCGAAGGGACTTTCCCGCAAACCGCCGTCCTCGGAACCAATGGCTCGCCCGGCCTTGAATGACCCTCGCATGCCATCTGCCTTATGACCAAAGGCGGTCCGCCCTCTCCACCAAATTGTACTCGTGCCCCCGAAAAACTCTGCCACAGGAGATCTGAGTTCTGACCTGGGACTCCACCCCCACTTCCCCAAAAATCCTTGGGACACCCCTTGTCGCACTTCCAGGCCCACACTCTACTCCGATCAGGAAGTCGCGTTGGGCGTGAGGTTGGTATCGGAGCCCGACACGTGGCCGGGTTTTAGGATTAACAAGCCCGATAATTGAGCGATCTGGCTAACCGAGGGCGACCTCGACCTCGGAACGCACATAGACGCGACCCCGTCATCACCCGAAGTAGATCGGCTAATCGATGGGCAGCCAACATGAACGTCAATCCGAACCCGCAACAAAATGCTAATCAACAGAATCCCAATCAACCCGCCCCACGAGCACGGGCTCCCATGACGCCACCCGATCTCTATCTGTTTGACCCTGCACATCATCTTGCAGGAGCATGGTTGGCCACGCTCCGAGCATAGAAGTATGACGATAACGAAGCTCAGGTAAACATTCCCGCTCAATTAGGAGGAGACGCTCATCACTGGTTTAGTACCTATGTATGGGTAGATCTTTCGACCTTCGAACGAGATTTTCTGAATCGATTTGATTATGTTCATCTAGAGCAAGCACTTTTCATGATTAAAGACCGGGTGCAAAAACCTCTCGAGTCTATCATGATCGCAGAATATCGAAACCGATTCTACCGAATGTTTATGAAAACTGAGCGAGGCGAGCAAGTCGGGAGAGATTGGTTTATTGACGGGCTTCGCAGCCGAACGATAAGGGCAAAGCTGCGAAAGAAGTTCTCCCCCATCAATCATACGCTGCAACAGATCATGGCCGCTGCAGAAGAGATGAAACAAAAGTTCGCAGCGAGCTTCCTGGAAGAAAAAGACTATCCTTGGGAAGGGGACTCGTCCGAACTTGCGAGGGCAAAAGCTGAGCTGGCCGCGTTGCAAAATAAGTTTGAAAATATGGGATTTGTGTCTGGTCCAGTTACCTATCTAGAACAGATAGGCCCTAAACGACCGATCCCGAGTGTGAGCACGAGCATCCCTGTTCCTGTGGTACCAACCCCCGTGATGACGGTTCCCCCGCCAGCAATTGAGAACCCTGTGAGGATAAACGAGTCCACTGCTATTTTTGAACTAACCACAACGTTAATTAGCCTTATTCAAGAAAGCAAAAAGGAACAACGAGAGCATAACGCTCGGCTAGAGGCTATGATGAGGAGCATGCGGCCCATCGTAGTACGAGCCGCTCCAATCCAACAAGGACTAGCCCCGACACCTGCTCTTGGGGGAGCCGCTAACAATCTGAACGTATGTTATGCAAGTCATCAACCGGGGCATCTAGCCCGTGATTGCCCCCACCGGCCCCCGCAACAACGGGTCGGGGTCTCACCAATGGCAGTAACCCCCATCGCTAACGGACCTAGACGGGTAGGAGCCCTGATGGAATAGATGGACGGAGGGGGAAGTGCGTTAGCAACCACGAAAGAGGCTGCTGAGCTCATCCCATTAGATCAGTATGTATCGCTTGGTTATCCTGGGCTCGGAATGATTGGAACGATCAGACCGGCGCTGGAACAGAAAGAAGTGGCGGAGTGGCGACCCTCTCCAGGAGAGATGGAGTCTTGAGGACCCACCTTCCTCACCAGGAAAATCGATGTGCTCAACATCATCCGAGCCTTGGACCATCGGATTCCACTTCCGATTGGTCATCTGCTCTCGATCTCTGAACAAGCTAATGAGCGGATGCTACAGCACTGCAAGGCGAACCGAAAACGATTCACCCTCGCCCGAACAACGAACGTGAAAGCTAAAAGCCCCACGCCATACGAAAATATGGCTGGTACTTCGGATCCAATACGGGTAGGGTTAATACAGAAAGACGATCATTTCCTGCAGATTAAACCCATCTTGTGGAAATCTGCGGAATGCAGTGTGACATTGAAATATGGGGAATTCCGTACAATGAGATCGTTGATTCGGGAGCTGCTGTTTTGGCTATCTCACTGCGAGTAGTTGAGAGGGCAGGAAGGAAAAACGATCTGATCATGCTTACAGAGAAGGACCAGCTCGTTTCAGCAGACGAAGAAAAAATTAAAACGGTGGGAAAAAAGACCAATGTCACTTTTCGATTAGGAAAGGTGCATGCGTTAGGTGATGTCGTGGTATTAGACGTAAATACCTACGACGTTGTTTTCGGCCTTCCCACTCTTGTGGCATTGCGAGCGAACTTGGATTTCGAGCGACGGTCAATCATCCTCCGAAATACGGGAGGAAAGCCCTATGTTGTACCTATGAGGTTGACCCTTCGCACTACCATCAACGAATTCCCACGAGTTTCTCCGATGATAGCGGGAACTCTCCGTATGATCAATAGGGAAGACCCCGCAGACGGATGAGCTATCATCAAAGGATGCGGATAGCAGTGACGAAGATGATCTGGAAATTCAGAAGCTGGCACGACAACGCATTTATTACCCGCCGCCCAGAACGATCGCAAGAACGATGCATCTAATCAGTCGGAATATCCAAAGGACCAAGGCGATGATTTTGGGTGAACCCCTCGTACAAATTTCGAGGATGGTCAATTCTTTGGAACCCCCTCAAACCCTGTACGAAGGAATTTCCCCTCTCCTCGCCCGATACAACGACAAAAAGCACCACTGAGATATTACAGATCTTCCGAAGTCCCTATTGACACCTGCAAAAGAAGTACGACTGCTACGCCTGGGGGCGGAGGCCACTTCTTTGGAAACCCCTGGGCGTCTCGAGGCTGAATCAGATGAGTTCGGATTAAAGATCGCAACTAGAACCGTACCATGGCAAGATATCTGCGATGGGATCACCCTGGAAGGACGTGTGGCCATCCAGGAGGAAGACGCCCAGATGATGGCCACGGTGTTCTCCTGGCGATCGGACCATTTGTTTAGCTCTGCGCCACCACCCGATGTGGCGAAACAAGCACGCATGAAGCAGATCGACGTACGGATCTGGGATCAGCTCTTCGAGTTACATGTCCCACAATACGTACCTGATGAGATTCATCGTTTGATTTTGGACATTCTGACGGAGTATCAGGGAGCGATTAGTGTAACGGACACTGACATCGGCTTGTCGTTGGTCATTCAACATGAAATTTAGACGGGAAATCATTCCCCCATCCACTGCAAGCCCTACCGATACTCCCTGATAGAACGGAAAAAGACTCTCGAACGAATTCGGAAATTCGAAGCAAGCGGGTGGATCGAACCCGCCACCGGACCATGGTCATTTCCAATAGTGTTAGTACCAAAGAAGAACGGATCAATCCGCATATGCATCGATTATCGCAAACTGAATGAAATCAAGATTAAAGATGTGTATCCCCTCCCCCAGATTGATGATTTGTTGGATGCGATTGGATGTGCTAATTATTTTAGTAAGCTTGATATTCGATATGGCTTCCATCACATTCTGGTTAAGGAGGAAGATCGGCCAAAGACGGCCTTCGTATTGTTTGAAGGCACGTGGCAGTGGGTTCGATGTCTGATGGGAATTTGTAACGCGCCTGCCACGTTTCAGCGAGCGATGAATGCGACGTTTCAAAACTTCGTCAACAAGACACGGCTGACGCAGGGAATGATTAACTTTTGCGTAATTGTATACATGGACGATATTCTTGTCTACTCGAAGACCTATCACGGACATGCGCAACACATCGAGTGGACATTGGGAGCACTGAGAGATGCTGGATTCAAGATTGCCCTCGAGAAGAGCGAATTTTCCTCTCGGAAATTTCGTTCTTGGGGTACGTGGTGACACGTGGAGGGCTGCGACCGGATTCCAGGAAAGTGGCGGCTGTGAAGGAAGCCCCAGTTCCCACGTCGCTGACGCAGGTTCGAGCCTTCTTAGGCCTGGCGTCGTACTACCGCCGTTTTATCAAAGGGTTTGCGGCGATTGCTCGGCCTCTCACGAACCTGCTTTGAAAGGACCAGCCTCTGCACTGGAACTCTGAGTGTGGACAAACCTTTGATACACTCAAAGAGGCCCTGGTCACTGCACCTGTTTTGATCCGACCAGACCCTGCCAAGCAATTTATTCTTATAACGGACTGGCAACCGGAATCGATCTCCGCCATTTGGGCACAGAAGGGGAACGATGGTCGCGAACACGTCATCGAGTACGCGCCGTGAACGGTGCCAGACGAACGGAGGAATGACTCAGCACCCCAAGGCGAATGTTATGCAGTAGTCTGGGGAATCCAACACTTCCATCCGTATCTCTACGGACAGAAGTTCTGCCTCGTGACGGATCATGAGCCTCTGCTGGCCTTGAATAAGCTCACCAATTACACGGGCATGATTGGACGTTGGGCGGTACGAATGCAGGAGTACGACTTCGACATCATCCACCGGAAGACAGAGAGACACGGCAACGCGGACGGACTGTCACGTCTGCATCGGCCCGGTAAAGTACCTAAGGGCGAGGAAATCACTTCGTGGAAGGAGTCAGAACCGACAAACGGGCCTAAGTACGGACAAGTGGCAGTTCTCCCACGTGGCAAGAAGCAGGTTGGCAGCAATGGGTGACGGAGGTAACCCCACTACCCCTCTTTCTCCCCTCTCCTCTTCATCTCTTCTCTCCCTGTCTGATAGATTTTGTTATTTTTGCGAAGCAATTTCTCGCGTATATTCGGTCTCCATGCGTCCTAACGGGGAAGGCTATGCGGAATGGATAGACTGTCGACAGTGTGTCGCACGAGTCCATGGCTCGTGCATCCAATACCGAAATGACAGTAAACCGTGGCTATGCCCCTTGTGTCGGGTTGACAAGATCCCGACCGAGGCTCGCTTTTTGGATGCTACGTCGGAAGGATTGGAGAAGACCCGGAAGTTTAGAAGGGTCGAAGTATGGACCGATATCGCTTTGATTGCCACCTTAGTGGGTAACCCCCTTTCAGGATTTCACCAAGGAAGATCGGAGGAGGGCTAATGAAAGGGCTCGGGATTATCGATGGGTAGAGGGTAGGTTAGAAAAATGGAAATGGATGGCAATGGGATTTGGATGGTTGTACCGCATCCATTCATGAGGTACGACTGGGTGAAGACAACAAACGAAGAAACGGCTGCCCATTTTGCCGTGCGGATTACGGAGTCGGCAATCGACAAAAACGAATGGTATTGGTCCAATATTCGGGACGATGTGAAATTCATCATCGCAACTTTCAAGTCTGCGCTGCTGACAAGGCGCCGATCCAGCCGCCAAGATCGATAGTACCAACGGTAGTCGAGCGGCCGTTCCAAAGGGTGAGTATGGATACTACCGATATCGTGGTACCCCCTGGTCCTAATAGTTGTGAATATTCAGTCGTGTTGGTATTTGTTGACCACTTTTCGAAATGGATCAAGGCCTATCCATGTCGCATGCGACAAGCCGCCGAAATCGCGCGGTATGTTAATCGCTTTCTCGGGATGCACCAGGGTACGGAAGAAATTCTGACCGACAACGGGGCAAAATTCAGAGGGGAAGTATTAAGGAACCTGGTCATACACGGTGTCGCTGTGCGGAATACTGCACCCCACATGTCACAATCCAATAGGCTGGTAGAAAACGCGAATAGGGTGATAAAGACAGCACTGCGACAAAACATCGTGGCACGGGACCCCAGGCCCTAGCCCGATATCGTAGACCACATCTTCGTGGTCCATCGCGGAACGCCCCACGAATCAACGGGCCTGAGCCCCTTCCAATTAAGGGCCAAAGTTGTCGCTTGTGTTTCGATACTGAGCCTCCCCAATGAATCGACGCTCAACCGCCGGCCCACAAGGGCCATGGTTCGAGACAAGGCCAAGCAAAACTTAGAGCTAATTGAACGGTCCCTCCCCAAGCTAGCCCGAAAACGCCAGAAACTGACCGAGTTGGCCCACGGCCGACAGGTCCGAAGCTACGAGGCCCGGAACGGGAACGTAGGTCCACGGCCCCAGTGCAAATTGGGGGACATCGTGCAGGTGAGGAAATTTGCTTGTCAGGGTAAGCTAACGCCACGATTCTTTGGGCGATTCCGCGTGATTGAGCTGGGACCGAACGGCGTGAATACCGTGCGGCTTGCGCCTGAGGTCTCCGGCAACCGATCGGCTCGTCCGATCATCCGCCACGTGTCCTACCTTCGTCCCCTTCCTTCTTCCCCATCTTTGCCTTTATCTGACTCCTCCCCCACTACAGAAGAGGACGACGATTGCTTATCGCCTGTTTCCCCGTCTCCTTCTCGTTCTCCGTCTATTACTCCGTCCCAGTCACCATCGCCATGAGTTTTCTTACCGAGAGAGCTCTCAGCGATCCTCAGCTGGTACCACGGTGTTACATCTCGGCGATCCGACAAGTTCATTATTCGCGGCTTAGCCCGGACCTTCGGCAACTTGCGCAATTCTTCTGTACTCAGGGAGTGTACGCAGCCGCTGAGTTTTGATTTGCAGGCAGTCCCCGGGCGGTTGTTTTGGCGGAGGCGGTAGCAGTTCATCAGCGATCAGCTCCTGGAATCAGCCACATGTCTACGGTTGTCGCCTTCAGCGGCGATATCAGCACCATCAGCCCGTTGCGGCATACGGCTATCAAGACGACGCTTCGGCAGTGGGCGCAACAGTTGGCGTCAGAGTGGAATCGCTGGCTCACGCCCCACGGGGATAATCTTTTCCCCACGGACGGCGTCGACCTAGACGTGATCCGAGTTTTCCAACACGAGACGCCGGTGGTGCTCCCTGAACTCATTCCCTTCCAGCGTCCTCAATGAACCCATCCCCAATCTCTACCTTCGACCTCCCTTCCTTCTTTCCCACCTTCTGGCAGTCCGGAGTCCATCCGCATCTCTCCTTTTGTCTAGAGTCACTCGCTGTCCCCCTCCTTGATCCTCAGTAGTGGAGGCGTTGGCGAGAACACTTCGTCGAGCTGTCGGTGTGTCTGGTCGGAGTAAAGGTCATGTGGACGCGGCACGAGGATCACCACCAGTGGGCTGAGTACCTTGAGCTGCTTATCATTCAGGTGCGGCGAACGGGAGTGGAGGGCGATCTGCTCGGATTCCTCTTCGGATCGGTGCGGCCCAATCATCGCCAACCAATCACGCAAGAACTAACGGTCCCCCTGGCGCAGCTGGCCGACGATCTCCCACTTGAGATCGTCTCGCAGAGCGACAACAGCCCAGTCCTGCACGTCCTCGCATGCACATTGACGCCATACCTTCGGTGGTCGGCGTGTTTGGAGGCGCCCGGAAGCAGCCGCAACCCACCGTCACAGCGAGGTTATCTGGACCCGCACGAGATAGTCGATCTCGCCTTCTTTCAAGATCGGACGGCCTCCGAGAACGAAGAGGTAGAGATTGAAGCGGAAGAGGAAAGCTCAGAAGAAGAAGAAGAAGCTGAAGAAGAGGCCGACGAGGAAGAAACTCCCAAAGAGGGGAGTTATAGTGAGCACAGCGAAGGGGAGCAAAGTGAGGAGGAGAAGGAGGAGGAGGAAGAAGAACAAGACGGAGAGGAGGAAGAAGAAGAAGACCAGGAGGAGCTAGAAGAGTCGGAGTGGGAAGGATTTGAGGAGGAAGTGCGTGACGAGGCTTGGGCGCAGGCCCAGGCACAGAAGAGGGAAGAGATCCCGGCCGGAAAGCGACAGCTGGAGTTTGCCAGCGTAGCAGGTCTGTTGACCATCAGCGATCTAGGGCGAAATCTAGAGCCACCTAAGCCCGAGGATGGGGACCCAGCTGCCGAGACTTCGGCCGCACCGGCAAGACGGCGACGAAGCCGATCCCCCTCCCCCTCCACCACCAACCGTCGACCAACTCGTCCACGTACCGATGCAGGGCATCGGGCTTCGTCCCCGGTCATTATCCCGCCGTCCCCTTTACGACCTTTCTTTCCGCCAGATTACCACTCGCGTCACCTTCCCCAACAATCCCTTCCCCATCGATACCTTTCGCCTTTTCTACACTACCCGCCTCGCTGTCACTGTTCGTCCCCACCCTTCCACCCGATGCGCCTTCCCTGTCTTCTGCCTCCATGTCCTTCTCCTTAGCGCCGCGTGGCGAGGCCACAATATGATCGAGGTATACTGGATGATTACGAGGACTGTCCCCGCATGCGAGAACCACGATCACTTCCACGCGGCGCGTTTCCGAACCTTTACCACCCTCTACCCCGATTACCTCACATGCCTCCCTCACACTGGCAACCGATTCCCCCGCTTTCACAGGATCATTCGCTATCAGGAACTCGCGGTGACGGTGGCCGGAATGGAAAGCTTCCTTCCCCCGCTACCAATCAACCCTCCCCCTCGCCACCCCTCCATATACCATCTCCCTTTTCCCCTCCTTGGCGCTCGCTGATGTATGACTGATGGGCACGCGTCATGACGACGATACGTGTAATCCCCTCCTTGGATTGTCGATGGCCCTTCTTGAGGAATTAGTAGTAGAGCTGTGTTTGCCACGTTGGACGACGTCCACACTCATTCGAACGGTAAGTGGCATAGAGGGAAGAGCTCCACGTGTCGATCGAGTAGAGAGATCGACACGTGTCAACAAGCAAGCAGGAGCTTGCTAATATTGGAACCCCCTGGGCGTCACATATGTGACGAACCACCTTCTGTAGCTCGCGACTTTCAAGTTCTGCACGATTGCAATGAGGGGTCCTAAGCTGGGAAGGTTGGGCCAATTACGGGAGATTGGGATGGATGGGAAATTGCATCAGTACCTTCGCTTCTTCGTCTTTTGTGTCGATTCTTTTCGGATGGCTGAGTTCGGAGCTCGGTGTGTCTCGGGACGGGCGATTGATTGGTCGGGTGGATGGCTGGCGCGTCACCAAGCGCGCGAATAATAAATGTTGACGTCGTTTATTTTGTTCTGGTTTCGGGACGTTTTAGGCGTGGACATCGCGCGGGAATTTTGCTTCGTTCTTTTTGAAATTCCTTTTCGAAATCTTCTTCGAATTCTTTTTCGAATCTTGTCGAGCCCCGATGGCTCTCGGAATTTCGGACTTTCTTTCCGGAACTTGTGCTTTTTTGCTTTTTTGCATTAGATAGGAATTTAGGAATTTTGTAATTAGGACTTTCTTTTGCCGCGCGGCGCCTTTAATCGAGTGTGTAACTGTAATTTTGGATTGGTGCCATTGTAACTGTTATCTTTCTTCTTGTGCTTCGTCTTTCCCGCCCCTCTTCTCTTTCTTTTGCTGCGTTTTTGGTAGCCACGGTCTGCATGATCGGATCGATGCGTGGAGAGCGGCTACGTCCCCCACGCCACGTTCTGGCCATGCAGGCGTAGGCAATCCCTCCCCCCTTCTCTCCTTCTAAGTCTTTGTAATTCCGTGTTCCTCGCGCATGCATGCACGCTATAAATTTCAGCTGCGCGATTAGTTAGCTCTCTTAACCAGCTATTGGAAGCTCGGGGTTGCGCGATCGGAGAGGGTCGGCACACGAGCAAAGTAAGAGGCGAGTAGAGCAGGAGTCGGGCGACCCGACGAGCTGGTGCCAAACGCGCGGGGTTGACGTGGGCCATGACGAACTGTGGGCGCGGGCAAACCTGACAGGTGCGGGAGGACCAAGCGGGGTGACGGCTTCATGGGTTGGTGCGCGACGACGGACTGTCCGCATCGGAGAGAGAGAGAGAGAGGAAGAGGGAGCTGAGGTTGATGGACGCGGATTTGTTGTTTCTTTTATCTTTTCTCCGCCCTGTCTTGTGTATATAAATTTTGATTTCGGCTCCGGGTGATTTGCCCGTTTCTGTTTTTCGGGATCTGGATTTGGTTTTTCGCTCACCCTTGTCTTCGCGATTTCCCATCTCAGATATGGTGTATGAATGTATGAATGAATGAATGGATGTCGTGTTTGGTTGTTTGTCTTCCTATCGGATCCTTGCCTTTGCCCTTGTTTACTCCCTTTGATGCGCTCATGAGTAGGATAGGAATTTTGTGTAATCGTTAATCCTGTTCTTGTTTTTGCTTATCTTTTGATTGAGCTGTTGTGGTTGTTGCATCTTGCATGCTCGAAAATTACGGAGTGATTAGACAATTGAATGTCTGGCCCAGCGAACGCCGCGCGAGGACGTGTGTAAACGCGACCTGATCTACGCATTTACACGTGCCCCCGTGCGTCGATTCGTCAATTCCAAAAAGGACCATCGATTGCAGAAGTACTGTCTGATTGGATACGGCCATCCGGGGTTTGCGAGGGAGCAGTCATCCCGTGCGAACACGCGTAAGCGGGACTTGATTCGCGCGGCTTACACGTGCTCGCACACGGTGATCGCAATCGGCACAGACCCGCCCTTAGGCATCTCGCAGCTCTGCGATGGTTCGAGGGTGGTCCAAACGTGGTCCAGTGAACTGGAGCACAGACATCCCTGCGTCCAAAATCTGCACGGCGCCCCAACGGCTCCAAACGGTAACCGGCGGCGTGAAGCCTACGTCCGTCGACGTGAATTGCCGGTTGGCGTCCACTCAGGTCTGCTGCGGAGGGCGATCGTCAACAACGGTCCGAAATTCGAATGCTTTTCCCACCCGGCGCCCATTTCGACGACGACAGTCTCATTGGACAAGATCGTGGTTTTCTTCGATTATTGTCACCCCTCGCACGTTGGAGCACATATCTTCCACCGATCTTTCTTGTGTCGACGGGCTTGTTCGTTGAACGGTTGACCGCCAACGTCACACTGAAGCCCTTCGAACGGCCCTTACATGGCCGACCTGCTGCATAGGCTGCCTCTACTGGTCCTCGTCATCGTGCTGCTTCTCGTCGTTGTCTTCTTCCATGTGTGTTTCTTCGGCCTTGTCCCGCTCGCGGCTCGCAGAAGGAGATCTTCGAAGAAAGCCGACAGGATGGATCGACGACTGGGCAACGGTAGACCGGCAGGCACAACCTCCGGAGCGAGCAATCGGCAACGCAGTGCGGGGCCTGTGGCGAAGCAGCCGTACGACCCGAGGTTGTATGCACACCTGCCTTCTCACGAGATTCCTCTGCCGCTGTCGGATGATGAGGGGGGAGACGCCAGGTCGTCGACTTTACCGTCGGGAAGTGGTTCAACGTAGGAATGGGCGGCCACGCAGTCGTACGGCGGCAGGCGGGTGGAGACCCCGTGGTCTTACACGTCACTGTTGAACGAGGGGCTGTGCAACGACGACGACAATGCAGCAGTTGATCTCAACTTCCAGTTGTCTAGCAGCAGCGGAGCAGCGGGCACACTCGGATCATCAATCCCCACCCGGGTGGGGATTGCGTGGACAAGTCGCACGGTGGTGTGTGCAGGCCACGAGATGACGATCCTTCTCAATCGCTTCGTGAAGGTGGTGGTAATCGGAATGAGTCGACGACGATCGTCGGAGGAGGAGTCGGTGCGCGTGAACGTCCGGAGTGGATGCGCTTGTCACCTGCGTCGTGAAGCGGATCCGGCGCTCCTCCTGGACGCCAGCGGCCGGAGGATTTGTGTGAGGGAGGTACGAACGTGCACCGCGACGGCAGGCAGTTGTGGGCAGAGTGCAGGCAGGGCTTGCATCAACGTGGAACGGAGACAATCACGAGAGGGGTGCAACGGCTCCACGTGGACGAAGGGGATGAAGCGGCTGTTGAGGAGGCCCAGGGGTGTGACGACGTTGACGGTGACGACGATTGCAACTCCGACGATTTGCCTGACATTAGGCCGCTTGGGAGGAAGGTGACGAACGGCGGAGCGAGTGTGAAGAAAGGTCCCGCTACAAAAACTCGACGGAGCAAGAAAATGGATGATGACACAGGCCGGAGCGATGGCGAGGGCGGCCGCAATTTCTGGTCGGTCGGAGACACGACCGCACTCGTCAAGGCAAAAAGGGATCAGGATTTGTATATCGCCAGCATGGGCACCAGTTTCGCCCGCATGAAAACGAGGGAGTGGAAGTGGGAGGACGTGCGGGCGAGGTTGCAGACGATGGGCGTGACGAGGGAGGTCGTCGACTGCGGGAAGAAATGGGACAACTTGATGCAGCAATTCAAGAAGGTCCACAAGTTCCAGAACCTCTCCGGCGGGAAGGACTACTTCAAGCTTGCTTCAAAGGCCAGGAGATCGGAGGGCTTCAACTTCGTCACGGACCGGAGCGTGTACGACGAAATAGAGGCCATGACGAAGGGGGATCACACGATCCACCAGAAAAATTTGGCGGACACAAGGGCGGCCGGTGAGGTTCAGATGCCAGCAGGCGCGGGGGCTGGAGGGGACACTATGGCCAGTGAGGGTGGAGGGGAGGCAGCTGACGAGGGGCAGGGGTCGACGAAAGACTCCACATTCAGCGCGGGGAGCGGCGGCGGTTATAGGAAGAGGAAGAACATACAGCAACAAACCTTTGAGGCCGTCGTCGAGGTCATGGACAAGCATGGTGCACTCATGGCGAGCACAATGGACAGTGCGAGCAAGCGGCAATGCTCAATGATGTTACGTCAGTGTGAAATCCTGGAGAGCGAAGTGGAAGTGCAGAGGAAACATTATGCTGCGGCGGATGAGGCGAACAGAATGATGTGCAACGCCCTTATGGAGATAGCAAAAGCCATCCGCGAGAGATTATGAGTGATGCTGACAGTAATATCCATCGTTGCTTTAGTGGTCTGTCTCTCCACTCGTTGCGCCTGTGAAGATGGCGACCAATGTGTGTGTGTGTGTGTGTGTGTGTGTGTGTGTGTGTGTGTGTGTGTGTGTGGTCACCAAATGCTCAGCAGTACCTTTTTTAGAATTTTTTTTTTTTTGAGTTGTTGCACTTCGTCTTCCAGGAGAGTAGTATGTGCTACATTTGCGGTCTCCACAACGAGAGGGCCACGTGTTGACGGGGTTATGTGGGTCGAAGGATTGTTTTTTTTTTGAAGAAATTCATATCGGCCCCTAGAGAGTGTATGGACGCACTTCTGCAGAGGCGTCGAAGGGTCTGCAGGCGCCTCGAGGAAGGTGGGCGTGGCAACAGATGAAGGGCGTGTGCACGAAGGAGGTCTGGAGAGTTGTTGTCATACGTATCACTGTCCACGACGACGGCAGGCGAAGAATCGTGGTCGGGGCCTATCCGTCTGCTCCATGCTTTTGATGCGTCTGCGCCTCCTCCAGCATAAAGGTCGTCCACTTGCAGCTTCTCCAGCACTGAAGGTCGGCGCACACCGTGCGCAGCGACGACATCCATGCGGAACGCCCTATGCCTTTTCTCGTCGTCGCACTGCACAACGATCGCGTGGTCGCCCGTTTCTTCGCAGTCCTGCTCGTCTGGGACTTCTTCAATGTCGTCGTCGATCATCGCTGTGGATCTTGTCGCTCTCCTTCTCGCCGCGGATCCTTCTCGCTACGGATCCGTATCGCCCCTTCGGAGGTCCGGCGTCCTTTACTCGCGAAGATCTTCTTCTCGAAGCGGAGCAGTGTCCACAGGGTTCATCTCCTTCTCGCGTTCGCATCGACGTCGAGCTTGTGTGTGTGGCGAGGGCGGGCCCCTCTCTCTTTGTCGCCGCGGATCTGTCTCGCCACGCGGGGGTTCGTCGTCGTCTGTGTCGTCTTCTTCTCGCCGCGAACCAGTCTCGCCGGTGTCGCCCAAGTACTTCGGTACACGTGGACGCATTGCTCCCCAGGGCGGCAAAGGCGCTTGTTCGTCGTCGGTGCGAAGGCAGGTGTAGCCACAGATGGCCATTGACGAAGGCGGGAAACATGTTTGCGCGAGGCGGCGCCCGTGGCAAGAAGCGGGAAAACATCACCGCGGACACTCAAGGGCGAGAAAGGGGTCGGCGGCATGTCCCCAAGGCGAAGAGGCTCCGTTCGGAAGAAGCATCAGCAAGCCTGCCTCTTCGACGAGGGCGAAGTTGGGCGGCAGCTAACGAAGAGGAAGACAACGACGTGTTCACGACGGAGGAGGAAGCAGCTGAGGACAACGTGTTCGCGCCTCGGGGAAGCAATCTTCAACGCTCATCTGATCAGAGCTGTGCGAGAAGATTGTTGACGCCCCCTCCGGAGGCGCAACAAGTGCATGCCCACAACACCCCGAAGGCAAAGGAGGTTGTCGTCGACGTCGGCGGCGAGGACGACGAGCCCTTGGAAAGCCGTAGGCAGCGCAATGTCATACAAGGAGCCACGGCGACGACAGTCAGGATACGCGGCGCGACTGAAGAAAGGCCACCTCAGGGTGGCCTGCCTTCACGCCGTCCCAGCCCCGTCCGCGCAACACGGCTGCAGAGGGAGACTCCATGGAACGCAGGGGAGGGGAGGGGGCCAGCAAGAAGCGCACGTGGCGAGTGGGGGGCCGATCGCTGGTGCAGCCACGGGGTCTTCGGGCAATGTTGCTGCCGTGGTGAGGGCGAGAGAGGAGCTCCCTGTTGTGGAGCGGAAGGTGACGCGCGGCTACAACAAGGGTGAAAGGGAGGATGACGACCCCCTTCTAAGCCGGGTTCGGAGGGGAGGGATGGCGAAAGATCTGGCCGAGCATGCCCACCTGTAGGTCGATGACAAAGCGTTCTGGACGACGAGGGAGGGGCGAAGGCTGTACAACATCGTCCACGAAACGCGGGAGTACTTTGTTGCCATCGCCAGAGGGCTACAAACGCCCGACGTGCCCAGGAGTGTCGTCATGCCGAAATCCTCCACGACCCTGACAAGGATTGCAGATCCCGCATCTCCCGCGCGACGACAGCAGGTTCGAGCGCATCGGTTCCGCACGGGGACCGTCCCAGTCACGTCACGCAGGATTATGCAGGACTTGTCGCGGAGAGCGTTTGCCCGCTCCGGCCGAGTGCGCCAGCTGTACCTCTCGCGAGTCCCTACGACAGGACAGAGTCACGCGAGGCACCGCTACCTCCACCTGCGGGAGCTGTCACCATCCCTTAGGTGGGTGTATCCCTGCCGAGCTACTGGACCACATGCGAAAGTTTTTCGTATGCAATTGCAGAGGTGGCCCAACCGAGGGCGTTTCTCGTTCGCTGTAGCATAGGGGATACGCGCGGTCAACGCCCGAAATCGAACCCGCACGCGAGTCGACAACACTGAGGGGTTGAAGTCCCAAGCGCGACCCGACGTCGGTCGACTAGGACGCCCCCTACACATCACGCGTTACGCCACAACACTCACACTTACCACGCCTAACACATGGACACACACAAAACAACCACTACAAACAACACTACGACGCAACAATACTCTTAGTCCCTTCAGTATCTGACCCATAACCCTACGCAGTGGAAGTCGGTAACTGCCTTGCGCAAGGTTTAGTATAAGGTCGCGCGAACGTAGGACCCCTGCATACCGATTTATAATGCAGTCTTCCGCAGATAAACGCGATGACGACGCATTATGTGGTGCCCATACCCAGATGGCCTGTACTGAGCCATGGGGCGTTTTTCGACGCTCACGCGTTGGCTGAAGCGCGCGCTAGGGGGAGGTAACCCTTTGGCGAGCGCAAAGCAGGCCTGAGGGTCTTTCCGTCTTCTGCACCCTGAGGTGCCCCAAAGGGTGAGGAGTAAGACGGCCCCTAGGGCAGAAAGGAATTTGGAGCGGTGGTGAGTTGTCTGGCGCATCACCAGCGACACACTAACCCTTCCGCCCGGAACTTTATCGTTCCACCAAAATAAACCCTAACAAGGAAAGGATACAAATACTTTTAGTATTATCAGAAAGGACACCGTCGGAATTAGCTCTGTGGGGGTTTACCCGAATGTTTACTTGGAGTATCACCTCAGCAGAACGGGGGTAGCACAATCTCACTCAAACACAAAGGTTGTGGGGTAGTTTACTCTCACGACAGTTGTGTGGTTTGCCCATCTGAATCCACGCAATACCACTCAACATGAATAAATCGAATCTCTCTCATACATACCTGCAATCACACCACGATATCAAACAAAGATCCACATGCTACATGGGTTCAACTTCAACCAACCTCCCCACTCATACCTTTCGCTTTAGCCAGACAATCCCCAACCTCCAGCCAACCAACCATAATTAAGTACTCAGTACCTCTGTTAAATGGCCATTCAATAAAAGTCTGGGTGAAACCTTAACAAAACAAATAAAATCACCAGGGCTAAAGTCTCTTCAGGATGAGTATTGAGGGTGAATTGGAGTTGTCAATGAGTTGTAAACCGACGAATCGGCAACCGACCTGTTATCAGCGATAACAGAAGAATAGTCAGGCTGACCAAGTCAGACCTTCAATCAATACGCACGGCCTGCACCACAGCACAGGTCAAAGAGATTTCACTACAGCGTTTAGCCTAAGTAGGGAGTAATCCTCCTAAGTCACATCCTAACTCCTCTTCTAAGCTCCTACTCAGCTTCCGAGAGGTTCAGTAACACCTCCCCTACTCAGGGTTGAGTTGCTACGATTGGTCTAACTGAAAATATTATAACTCTCCAAATTTTCCAAAATTTCGGCAGCGCTTCCCGTAGGAAAAGTGCCTTTTCAGAATTTCTAGGAACCTGAATATGACTAACTTCAGAATTTCTAGGAACCTGAATATGACTAACTCTTTTCAGTTTTGCAGAAATTTCGGCAACGCTTCCCGTAGGAAAAGTAGGCTGCCAAGATTTATACAAAGCTGAAAGTCAAAGTGCAAAGCAAAACTACACTTGGGGCTAACTCCTAATCCCTGCTTGACAACTTAGGCTCAACATTGGTCTACATGCCCTCTGAATGAGGCCATGAGCCAACGCTGATCCCAACCCCCAGCAGAGTCAGTCCTATTTCATCCCAAGCTTCCCTCCCATCACCACCACTCGGCGAGCATCTACAGCAACTACTCTATCAAAAGATGCCCCAAGTGAGAGCCCACGAGCATGCAAGTGCAAACATCTCTCACAATCCCACATGTTTTTTTTCCAGGTCACATAGTTTGTTCAAAACCCTCATTATTCCCTTTTTACCCTTCCTTACATAAGACATAGGGTCAGCCAACCCAACTTATGGATGTGACTGACCTGCTAGTTTATATGACTAGGCAACACCAACTTATGATGTCCTAGCCTGATAACACAAATATACGTAAGCTTAAAACCAAACCACACCAACTTATGGTGCGACCAGTTTTTGCAAAACGATCGACATAAGGCGTATGAACGGGCCGCACCAACTTATGGTAAGGCTGGTCAGCCTGAACGTTCGGCATACACATAAAATGCACCTCCTCAACTCATGAGAGGTTAGCCTCTGCCTAAACAACAACAAAAGTCATATGACCAAACACAACAACTTATGTTGTGTTCGGCCAACCCACACGGTTACATACGGCGTACAGTCAGGCTACCCAACTTATGAGTAGTCCAGCCCAACCTAGACATAATCACATGCACGAAGAACTGAACATCCCGCAACTTATGCGTTCGCCCAGTCTTTGCAATACAACCATGTTCAACTTATAAACATAAGGCATAAAACTTACCACAACAACTTATGTTGTGATAAGTCTCTGTCTGAACAAAATGATATAAGGCATATAACCAGGGCGCATCAACTTATGGTGAGACTTGATCAGCCTAACTCTCGGCATATACAAAAAAAAAATTGAACCTCCTCAACTTATGAGGAGCCCAACCTTTGTCTAAACGAACGACGAAAAGCATATGACCAGACACAACAACTTATGGTGTGTCTGACCAGCTCACACAGTGACATATAGCATAAGACTAGGCTACCCAATTTATGAGTAGTCTAGCCTCGCCTAAACAACAACAAGCGCGTATGACCAAACAACCCGCAACTTATGCGTTCGTCCGACCTTCGGAACATAACTACATCCAATAGATAAGTTTCACAATCAGATTTTGTCTTTCGACGAGTGGCCAGGTCACCTCAACTTATGAGGATCCCTACGTCAGATATGTTTAGAAAAGGAAAATAGCCAGACTTTATATATCTCTCTGCCTTCGTGTTATCAAGGACATAGGACCAACTACCCAACTTATGGGTGAGTCAGCCTGCCCACAGTTACCACACCATTTTGTATTGTTCATTTTTTTTCCCTCCGCTTTTTCTGCTACCGGCTTATATGGTTGGATCTCCCAACTCATGGCGCCCAGCCTGCCATGAATATACTGAATAAATATGTATCACTTTGTATACTCTGATTCTCTTAGTGATGGTGGCTCATGACTTGACCACACAAACTTATGGTGCGAATAGTCTCGCCTGAAACAATAAAGCACAAGACTGAGTCACACCAACTTATGATGTGGTCAGCTTCTGCCTAACAATTGACGTAAGGCGTATGACCGGGTCCCCCCAACTTATGGTGAGACTGGTCAGCCTAAACTTTCGGCATACCCAAAGAACTGGACCACCTCAACTTATGAGGAGCCCAGTCTTGCCTGAACAACGACGAAAGGCATATGACCAGGCACAACAACTTATGTTGTGCCTGACCAGCCCATACAGTTACATACAGCATAGAACTAAGATACCCAACTTATGGGTAGTCTAGCCTGCCTAATAACAAATAGAACAGATGCGATCGACTGAGCAGCCCGCAACTTATGCGTTCGCCCAGCCTTCGCCACATAATTACAATCCTCGTGTTGTCTGAATTCAATCAGTTAATCTTAATTATCAATAAATATTTGTCAATTTATTCTGCAAAGCAATGTCCTGAACTTAGACTAGCAAATCAATCAGATATCCTTTCCAGTCATACTTACAGTCAGGTCAGTAGCAATATGATAATATAGTTTAGTGATAGGATCACACGCGTAAATCGAGGGTTATACCTGAGTGTTCCCTGCCTTCAGAACCCCGCCTCGGCTCCGGCAGAGCTCCCGCAATCGGTGGGTGGACCTCCCACAAGGCCTTGATGCGGTCCTACGGGTTGCAATCCCGCCTGCCGTCTTCCTCTCATAACCAAAAGACTAGACTTAGACTGAGAAGGGCAGAAGTAGAAATGTTCAGTCTCTCGAGATACAGGGGAGGGCCAACTCAACTCACAATGAGAGGGCCTTGAAGTCTGGATGCGCCTGAGGGCCCCGCAATGATGGCCAGGAAGTAATAGCTTGGCCAACTCCTGAAGTCACACTGTCAAGGTCAACCCTCCGCCGGCCCGACAGATCAGAGCTCCAACCACCCTTCCCAGGCTCAGTCCCCTTTCTGAGTCCCAACACTCCTTCTTAGCCCGACTGCCGCTGCCCAGCAAGCTGTAACTGTAGTCAATGGCCGGCAGCAGCACGCAGCTGCCAGCAGTCGTTCACAGCTTGTGCGCAGCTATAAGCAGAAACAGGGCACAATCAACCACAGTAGCAGCCTTCCGCACACATCCATCAGAAGCAGCCGCCGTACACAGCGGCCAGCAGCAATAGGTAACACCACCCAGTTACCCCCTTGAAAGTGGCAGTTCACTCCCTCAACCTTACACTGCAACTCCTCTAGAGTAACCTGTCGCTATGCAGCCTAGAAGGCTGTGCCTAGAACATAATATCCCCCCTTTACTTGTACTCGAAGTTTGGGCGAGGTGCAGCGA